TACTGGAAAGGCATATTGCGAAAATCCTGGATACAACACGATTTGCATCGTGGCAAGCTAATGCAAGCTGCTTCTCCCTTCTTAGTCCAACTCTGATAATAAATAAGATAGTCCACACTAACAGCCGCATTCCTACTTCCTCCCAAAAGTGAAATTTTTTGAAATTGAATTCTTTTTTATATCATTAATCCTGTCAGTACAAAGGACAAATCTGTTTAATAATAACTTCTCGGGAAAAACTGTGCTACAATGTGTAATGCGGGGTCTTCTCATCGACTAAAAATGACTGGTTTTAGACTAGTGAAGGAAGGAATAGACAGACATACTGGGCCACTATCCATCTATAAAGGAGTAAACCAACCAAATAAATAGTTGAGGGAGCTATGAAAAATATACATATTTGTGAACAATGAGTGTCTCTAGGTTAGCTTCTTACATGAGGCATTTGGCATCTGTTGTGCTTTTTTAACCAACAGAAATGCTTACGTGCATGCTGGGTGCCGTACTACTTTTTATGGCCTCCTTATGTGTTTTTTTTATCTCATAAAAGCATTAATATCTCCTCCCAAAGGATCGATCCAACGCCAAATCCCATAACTCCACTATAAACATTTGGAATTTCAAATCAAATTTTTTTTACAAATAACTTGGATTAGGTGTTTGAGTGTGTGTTTGAGTAAAAAAGAGAAAAGTGGAACTCAAGTTATTATGTGACCTTTAACCTTAGTGGAATCTCACAGTGCAAATTTAAATACAGGTTGGTCTTAATTTTGGGATCTCGTACTTAAGCTAGACCTACCACATTTGGTTGAGCGGCAGAAATAGTGTTATATCGTTTGGCGAGTCTTTTCAGACCTCTTTTTTTGCTTTCAAAGAGCAGGGGGGAGAGAGTTTCCTACTTTCTTATTCCTGGTGCTGAACTGTCCTGTGCCTAGCTGCCCTTTAAACAATATAAAACTATTTACCATTGGTCCCTCTCAGAAGAATAAGTTTTGAGCATTTTTTTGAATAATAAGTGCAAAAAGATTTTATCTAATGATTGAATGTTCTGAAGGGTAGCTAAGCTGATTAGCGATTAAAATTTATGTCTCTAGTTGGCTTTGTAAAAGGCAAAGGGAATTTTAAATCTTTCTCTATATATGAGGATGCAATTGTGGTAGTAGCTGTGACATTGGAAAACTCACAACTGCACTCATATAGTATTGACCTAAATTTAATTAGTAATATCTCATCTACACCCATAGAAACATGCGGAAAGCAAGAGTCATAGTGACGAGTGAATGAAGCGCTTAATGAATTTGTTTGTGCGCCTGAGTTTAGGTTCATTTGTGTGCCACAGAAAATAATTAGATTTTTTACTCGTTTGCACAAAGCCAATGGCGTTTAGTTAAACTTGTGACGCACATTAACCTATACTGGGAAGTTCGCAATGATAAACGTGCTCAGCAAGAGGTTAATGAATGGGCTATTTAAATCCAAAACAACCGTGAGTTGTCATACCTCCTTCATATATTCTGTGCATAATTTGAATTCATAGTTTGTGCAGATAAGGTATAATTGGATAATGAGTTGGTTATAGGCGCAACAAACAAGGTGATTGGTGGGGGTTGTGCTTCGTTTTGAGTTGATTTGACTTTCCCATATCTTTTAAGTATTTATCATCCAAGATTTTCTGTACTAAAACGTGTTATTCCAAAGCCATTTCCTAGCTTCATAACAAGGAGGACCGGGCCCACACAAAAGGAAGGATTACTATGATCGTGCAGCAAAATCCGACCAGCGGTTACCCATCAACCAAATAATTCTATTAACTTAACGATAATTTGAATGACTGTGATGCCGACGGCATGTCTGATCTGGGTATGTGGGGACAAACCTATGCTAGAAATCTATCTTGACAATTTCCTACATCAGTGCCAAAAGAACTAGGCAAAGTTATTCCATTTCATCAAGGTTTTCTTGAGCAAACTTTAGTACTATAGCGGGTGAACAATGGGATTCACTTTATTCCTCCAAAAGCCTTACCTCAATAGATAATGAATGTATTTACAACGTGCCATTTTTGGGTCGTTGTAAAGTAGGGTGTCGAAAATGATTTACGAGCAATAAAAAGTCTCCAAGCGTGTGAAGATAAAACGCAAATAACTAATTAAGAAAGCTCCTAAGAGTTTTTTTTACCCAATAAACTGATGGTAAAACGCTTTTGGAAACTCAAGTTAGCATTATATAATATAACCTACCGATAAGGAATAAATGTCCGATACTTGTCAAACAAAAGATATTTATAGGCCTCATCAGCCAAGCGATTAAGGTAAATGATCTGGTAGCATCCGACAAGAAAGGCAGCATTGGTGCGCTTTGTGATTTCTGTAGATGTGCAATGAACAATTCTATTGTTTGAGAGAGCAGAAGCCTTTAATTTCTTGTTCACCTTCCGGCAGTACCGATAGATTTGGGCAAGATTAAAGGGTCCAAAATCGTCATAGAATCTTAAAAACAAGGTTTATATACGAATAAAGGCAGAGGACCAACTTTTCGTAGACAAGTGCATCATCGATGGAGAAAATGTGGACGTTGGTAGAAGAAGGCGGAACCCCGTTGCTGATTGCAAAGTAAAACCGGTCTGTAAGGTGCAAAATCAAAAATGTGTAATCAAGCTATAAAGTCTAGAAGCGTGTCTACAAAACAAGTGTAGTTTTGCAAACTAGCTACTATTTTTACCATATTGATTGTAGGTAATTAAATATGTTAGTAATGGTTATAAAATGCAACATAAAAAACAGGAATGCATAGGTTAGAAGAAGGAAAAACTAAGCACACAAAAAGTTTAAAGATTAAGAAGTGTACACTAACATAATTATACATATCAATTGCTAAGAACACATAACTTTTCTATGCAGGGCAAAATAAGATCTGCCCTACTTCAAAAATGCAAAAATAAATCAAAAAATTAGGAAAACATGTACGAAACTTAAAAAGTCACTCGTAAAACACAAACCAGAATACGTTTACAACACAAATAAGGGAAAAAAATTATAAAGTCGAGGGAGGAAGCACTTGTGTTGCAAAAGATGCTACCTTTTATAATGCATGAAAGGCTTTCGAAAATGCCCAGGCCATGATCGTTTACCCTCTCCTTGTTTTTCATCCCATTCGAGGGAGATACAAATGTGGATTTTTGGGTCAGCGGTGGGAGAGGACAGCGTTGCCATAAGTTACCAAGGTCTTAATTAAAAAAATTACTCTTGAAGTAGTTGCACATTTTTGGGCAGAAATGTCACCTATTTAAAACCAAAGCATTTAAGTTTTATTAACTTTTGATTACGAAAATCATTACTTCATGTAAAGTGCCTAGAGTTATACCAATAATGCACTTACTCAACTCCGACAAAATCAACAATTTTTGACAGCTATTTAATAAAGACATTAATAGCCTTAGTTAACAAACCAGAGCATGAGTTTCCTAGAAGCTGCGTCAGCAAAATAATGCATTCCATTGGTTTCAATCTGTCAATTCGCATTTAGTGGCTTTACATTGAAATAAAATAGGCTGTTGTTTGTTTTGCTCCACCTAAGGAAATTAATGATATTGCCGAAAAAAAGAATTAGCCACACTAATTCAAGACTTTGTGCTTGTATTTTTCTGCTAGGCATTAGTCACTTGAGCCAAATTATTTCTTTTAAATAACCATGACCTCGATTATTTTGAATGCAGTTTTGGCCACGCGTTTACAAAGCTAGATACCCTAGCATTCACATGTTTCAATTCCGCTCAATAGCATCACCTTTAGGAAACCCTAGTTGCCTTCTTTTGTTGTAATGATATGTATGCTCACATGTACCGTCCCGAGACTCCCTGAGGACGAAAGAAGACAAAATACTCGGGCAGGATATGTGTTCAGCGCAGAGAAGGTGTCTGGGCCATTGGCATGGCCCAAAAGGCCAGCCCACCCAGCGAGGTACAAGGGGGCTGATCCGAAGTACAAAAGTGGCGCCTCACCACTACTGAGGGATAAACCACTATTGTATTACACACACGGTCCTTTAACGTTGGTCGATCTTGTGTAATTCGATTGCTTGGCAGATTGGCAAAAACCTCGCTAAAGTCGTGAGCTATAGCCTTGTCTTTAAAAATTTTTGATATTTTGTTTTAAATATTATTTGTCCCACAGTAGATTTAGCAGTTTCTTATTTACCATACCCCTTTTCTAAAATCACTTTTGTACCCCAAATGAAGCGGAGTGCTGCATTGGCTTTGCGCGTTTAGGAAATATTAAGGTCATGGTTTATACTGTTTGCCATAATCATCAGCCTTCTCAACGTTTGTACATCCCCTAAGAATGCATTACTTTAAAGCTTTCATAGCCCTAATTCGTTAAAATAATAGGCAATAGGAAGTGGTAATGGGGTGGAAATGGAGCTGGGTTGGATTTCGTAGGAACCGAAGATCATTAAAGTGAGTAAATGGGAAGACTGCAGAGGATGAAGTGTTTGAGTAGCTCAGCTTATATTTTAAGTGAAATAGCAAGCCTACCAAATGCTAGTACGAGAAATGATGAGAATACTACGACGAATTGAGGTACAAAGGGTGGGTCCCCTCACCACGCATTATGGCATCGTTGCTACGCTATTGGGTTTCCACCATAATTTTTTCAGCCAAAATTAGGGAAACAAGAATTTTTCCTAAGTTTTACTAATTTTAAAAATTAAAGTTGTTAAACGAATCTAAAAGGCTGGGCTTAATGAGGTGGATTTGTAGATTTAGATTAAATGAAGGAACCTAGGAAACAAACCCAAAATTAGGTGACCCCAAATCAGTATGCCACGCTTTACTCAGATTCTTACTGATATGCATAAATACGAGTTCCATCACAAATAAGTTGCGGTATAGAAGGCCATTACTTGACGAAGTCTATTTGGCATCCAGGTTCTTTAAAGCTACTTCACACATTGGTCGAGTGTGGGCGCCTTGCCTGACTGCGCAGCTTGCCGACCACACGATGGATGCGGTATGGTGGGTTTCTAGCGTTTTATTGTTTTTAGACCGGTTTTCCCACCAGATTCCATCGTAAGAAGGCCCTACAACAGTTTCGGAAGGCCAAATTCGCCGCAAAACAGGCTGCGAAAGTCGCGTCTGTTAACCCCGAACGACCTGGGTAGGCTATTCAGCTTTTTCTTAATTTGCATAGTTTTATTGAGAAGGATGAAGATGAAGTCGTCACACAGGAGATTATCCGTCAAAATGTCGACTTGGGTTCTGCCTCAAAAGTATTTGTTATTTACATTGAATGTATCATGTAGCAATTCGAACTTACCCTTGACTCAAGCCCGTGTTCCATAGATTACTCTAGAAACGGAAGGTAAATTTTACATTCTCGTAGATGGGATCATGACTAATAGATATCTTGCTATTTGTGGGAAGCGTGGTCATCTTGCAGCTTTCGACTGGATGACCAAGCGTCTCTTGTTCGAGATTAACGTGAATGAGGAGTGTCGCGATGTTAAGTAACTGTGGCTTTGAATCTTAACATTATATTTTTTGAAGATTCCTTCACCAAGAGACTTTCATTTCGGTGGCTCAAAAGGGGTACACGTACGTGTACGATAATCAGGGTATCGAGTTGCATTGTCTCAAGCGTATGGCAGGCATTCGGCGACTCGAATTTCTGCCCTACCACTTCATCTTGGTCGCGATGGCTGACAATGGATTTATGTACTATTTAGACGCTTCAATTGGCGAGATTGTGGCCTCTTATCCCACTTATATGGGATCGCTCAGCGTTGCTTGTCAGAACCCAAGCAATGCTTCCATTTTAACAGGTCACCCCAGTGGCACTGTTTCGGTGTGGATTCCAACTGAAAAGACGCCCGTAGTGAAGATGCTCTGCCACAAATCGGGTGTCAAATCTATTGCTGTTAACCGCACTGGGCAGTAAGCACGGTTCAAATTGTTTTTTTTGACTCTGTTGGGTTTTTTGTCTGTAAGATTAACCGTTTTGGAGCTGATTTTGCAGGTATCTTGCTACCTGCGGTCTGGATAGGTACTTGAAGATATGGGACCTCAGAAGCACTCACAACTGCTTGGCTGAAATCACTCTCGCGACACCTGCGGTTGCAATGGATTTCAGTCAAACGGGTCTTCTCGCTCTTGGATCATCAATCACTGTCCAGGTTAGCTCCATTACTCTGCGATCTTAATGCATAGTTTAAAGCCATTTGTAGTTGCATAAAAGGTGAAAAGTATGGACTCGGTTATGAGGTAGGCTTACAGCCTAGAAGTTGTATTGAGCAGTAGCGCAATGAGTGAATGAGTTGAAATCTCGAGTGACTACTGATTGTCAATTAATTTGTACTGCTTATAACCCTGCTGTTTTCTCCTATCTTCTTAGCAGTTCTGATGGAAATTATATCAATGCATTAGAACGGTATGATTGAACAGTTGTTCAGACATGTAGAGGCTCTGCTCCGGACTTGAGTGACGTTCAATTTTGGTTTTCATGTACGAATATACATGTCGTACCCGTTTATGCGACAATTGGTTAGGTTTCAGTAGGTCAATTCGTAATGGGAGGAGAATTGTTTGAACATTGGACGTCCCTTATTTTTCACAACTTTGAGAGGCGCTTCGACTAGCAGTAGTGGTTCCCATGCTGTGTTCTACCTTTATTCGGTATTTTATTGTGACGATTTGGCCACTGCTTCGATAGTTATCACGCCAGCTCGGCGACTGCGAAAAGTACGTCATTGTTCCATGTCAGTACATCATCGCACTGCTTCGCAAGGATTACCAGTTCCCATTTTCGGACTTTCGATCTGGCTGGTTCGTTACCTTTTTGCAGTAATTCCTTGGGATTTTCTTCCTTATAAGAGTGGTTGAGTTGAACGTTTCAGTAAATGAGTTTCTATTCACCGCAGGACCGTTTCAACTTGACGATTATCCTATCCTCCTTCCTTTTGGTCAATAATAACTAGCAGATAAGGCTATTTTAACGTGACTAGCTTCTTAGTGGTAGTCTCGAGACGCAAAACCACTTCCTTCGCTCTTACGTCTGAGTTTTTAATCCCGGCGGTGCGTGCGCTTACGGGCATAAGACTCGGACGTTTGAGACTGAAGGAAGGCTATCTCAAACTTGCCGGTGGCCTAGGAATGAGATCAGATCTGTTGCCCTACCCATTCCTGTTTTAGTTTATGGGCCATTCCACGGCGTCCAGGCGGTCATGGGCAAATAATCTCTTCCACTTCCTCTTTTTGGGTACTATATTCACGTTTTACTGTCTTAGGTTCTAAAGGATCCAGCTACCAGCACTGAGGTGGCTTTTCAGGCAGCAGCGCAGCAGCACGTGGACGTAGAGGTGGGTCTAGTCCACCGCCGAGTGCTGCGCAGCGCCTACCTAACACATAATTGCAGGCGACCGGTGCATAGCGTGGCTTTCTGTCCCTTTGAGGACGTCCTCGGTGTGGCCACCGCCGGGGGCTTCCATTCCCTTCTGTGTCCCGGCGCCGGAGAGCCCAACTTTGACGCACTAGAGGAGAACCCTTTCGCCAATCGGCGCTATCGTCAGGAACGAGAGGTTCGGCGCCTGCTCGATAAGGTAGGATACATCTCGCCACTCGTCCTTTTCCTCGCTCATTTCTGCCTCGGTTAAATTCCTCCTCTTTCTTATAAGTTATAACCCCTTTCTAGTGTTTTTCTTTGTTTTCATTTCTTGTGTAGATACCGTACACGATGATATCGGTGGACTCGATGTTGAACAAAGTTCGGCGCCAGGATATTGAGGAGGAGTGGAATAAGAAATGCAAAGCTCTTGTGAGATTATTTCTATGCTCGCAATTCTACTTCGGAAAGCTTTGCTCACTCATTTTTTTCCTGACAGTTGGGTGAGATACCGAAGGTACCGATGCCGAAGGTGAATCGGAATAAGATGAAAGGCCGCTCGAAGGCCCAGAATATTGAAAAGAGAAAGCAAGTACTGCGCTTCAATCGGAAGCAGTTTGAGGTCTCAACACTGATGCGTGAGAAGGCGGCGCGGCGCGACAAGGAGAAAGTGGCGGCAGCCGAGATGGGGAATCTGCCCAGCGACGCCTTGGTGGCCAAGCGGAGAATGAAGAAGCGTACAAACTCGGCTTTGGACGTCCTCATTCCCAAGAAACACTAGAATAATTTGACCCAACGCTTTCTTCATTTTTGCTATTATTTATCGTTGTACATACCTACCATCATCGAAGGTGAACACCTTTTTTACGAAGGTATTCTCAGTATAATCACGTTTGAATGGTCAGCGATATTTTATGTTCCCAAGGTCGATAAATCAGGTACAGAACAGCTATTGAGTTCAGAGTTTTAGAATCTGTGTTGTAGCAAAACGGAGGTCGCAGTTTAAGATTTTTTTTAGTTGATTTTGTACTACGATCTAACTTCCTCCCGAAATGGTAACGAGGTGGGTTAGTTTTCGTTCGATTACACCTTTGATTACTTTCGTCCAAAGTTCAGTTGTGGGGCCTCACTCTGTTGTCATCCATTGGAATATCAAGTGTCTTCGGTCCACGTATGCTAGGCGATGCAGGTGGTTATCAATTCATGTTGTCTCCCCGCCTATTCGTCCGATGTTATATTTGTGAAAATATTGCCTTTGTATGTACGTATTTGGTCCTGGTAGCAGCGATTGTAGGTTGCAGGAATGTCGAGGTCGGATTCATATCGTGGGATTCCTTTCCACAATGAGGAGTAAGGAGTCGGTTTCCAATCAAAAAAGGTATCTTTGAAGATATAGGAGATGGTACTTTAAAATTGTTAGCATTAATTTTGAATGAGCTCGCTTGAGTTCTATTCCCTGTAACCGTCATTTAACCAAACGCAACTTCTAAAGTGCCATTTTTACCTTTTTTCTAACCTCATGAGTGATTTGGGACCTACCTTCCCTGCTGAAGGTGTGGGTCAGAGCCACAAATATTCCGCACAAATATTGTGATTTATTGTACATAAAAAAGCTCGTCAGGAGAGGTGTGTAAGATGCAGGGGGACCCAGACTGTCTGCTTTGCTGCGGCTTTCGTTGGCCGGATGAATGAATAATGCCGTCCGATGTTGTCGACTTCAATGTCGCTGCTCTTCAGGAGTGTGAAATCATCTTTGTGGGTGAAATTATAAACGCTCCTAATGCGTTCCTAACCGGAGTAACCAATAGACGCAACCTCGAAACGGGGCGCGTGCTCACATGATAGCTAGCTGTCTGGATGGTGGAGAGTACTAAGGTCACGGTATATTCCAGCCTCCTTTGTTTACAGTATTTGATTCACCTTGGCCTTATAGTGAGTATTAGTACGCTTAAATTACATCTATACGTAATATCAGTCAATCAGGAGGGAATGAGCAAAAGTGTGACTGCCTTGGATGTTCGAGAATTAAAAAAAAATGGCAACTTGGAGAAAATCGTGATGTAATTGTTTGCTGTGGTTGCAGTGCTTCCTCGGCAAAAGCTGAGGAAGAACTGCGAGTCAACTCACGGTTACTCTTTTGCACAAATGACATGGATGACGCGAATTCACCAACCCATAATATCCCCAACTTTTGTCCGTAAAATTCTGGAGATGGTGATTCGTGTGTCTATGAGATGGCACCCGGCACAAGCTCAAGGCGCCAATAGGAGAGGAAACTACCTGACTTTGACAGTTTCAGAGGTGATATTGCGATCTAATGCTCAGGCACAATGCGAATAACAATGTTTGTAGCAAATGCGACCAAATGAGTTACAGATTCCACAAATAACGATGTCGATTACTGTCGTCGTTTTTTTGGGGAATAGCATAAATAACACCCATTGTAACTAGAATAATCAGTGGCAAGTAAATCACCGACATGCGAATTTTTAAGTAAATTTTATTTATCAGTGCAAAATTTACGATTTTGGTTATTTTTTTATAGAAACTAAAAATTTCCCATCAATGAAGCATGTTCCCTGCATTTTATCAAATTCGACATCCATTTACGAGTTCACTTTCAGGGAAGTGGAAATCAAAGCCATAGTTTCTCATTAATGAAGAAGTAGATGTTGAAATTTTTCAACAAAGAGGTTTCTACAAAAGTAACGTAAAGGCAAAACATTTGCACAAAATTTCCATCATTGACAGCCTAAGTCATATAGCCGATGTGGCGGGTGAAGTTTTGGGCGACAGCTATAATCTTCTGTGCAAATGTCTTTGTCAGTCCAGGTACGAAAATGTGAGAAACCAGTTAATGCATGGACAGGAGATTGGTGTAACTCTGCAGTCAGTAGGGCGGTGATGGTCTGAAAAGGGCTTTAATAAGCTGAATTGCGTCCATTGTGGCAGTTTGACCTTACGCATTCCCTTCAGATGAACTCCCTTTTGGAAATCTGGATCGTTGTGGAAAGTGATGTAAAATCAGCCTCTCAGAACCAATGTAACGCCAGTTTTGAAAGGATTGTGAATACCATGATTGTTGTTGCTCCCTCGTGTCTCGAAATGGCATTAATTCTCTTGTGCCAGTTTTAGTAAAGGAGTTATAGGTAAGAATGCTCTTATTGTTGAAACGGACTTAATCTTGGCTGTTGCATTTTACCTTCAAAGCTGCTACTCTCAAAATAGCCTTAGTAACAGTCTTTGCTAACGCGGGAAGCTACAAATAAATTGCATTACCTCTGGGTGCTTTGACAGAGTAGGACGGAACCTTGAGCAAATTCATTTAATCAACTACGTTTCTGCACCTACAAGATGACCTTCCTGTTCGGCACTTTTGCTGCAATAACACTTGCTCTACTAAATAGGGGAGACGGTATTCCTCCTAGGTGGCTACCATAACACACCAGTAATTCGTTCGAACTCGTGCCCTTTAATGTATTTGGACACCAATTGTGGAGACTCCATGGCTTTATCCTTGTTTACTTGTGACGAATTTGTGCGATCTAACCCCAAAATGCTGTTGGATGTCGCAACTAACTCAAATGTGGCTATGCAGAACCCCAAGTCCCTTGATCAAGCGCATTTTCCAAGGCGAATGAACAAGTGCTCACCATGATCGTGGAGAACTCTTTTGGATTTAGGCCAGTCGCACACAGATCAAAGCGAATGCTAAGCGTGATCCCGTGGTCCACTCACTCATCCCCATCACATCCGAATGTCTCCCAGCTCAAGGCCATAATTGAACCCCTCGTCATCAGCCTCTCCACGGGCTTGCGTCTAGTGCATACCAGCTGGCAGGGGATTTATGAACTGAGTGAATGCATACGCGAGTGTTGGTGAGGATAGCAGGATGAAGTAGAGGATCACTTTAAAGTGCATTGCAGTGGATGGCTACTAAAACTTGAAGTAACGATAATAAGGCCTGTAATAGTTCGTTTCAGCAGTAACATTGAGCCATAGAAGCACACCTCTACACCTCGTCTAGGGATACTTTAATAAGTCCAGCATGAAACTAAGGCATCTTACTTCAAGGCGTTGACCGTGGAGACGGGAATTTTACCATCCGACCACTACATCATTGACCTAGGATCCTATTCATGTCACCTACGGAATCACCTCCTTGACCCTTCGGGATGGTGTTAAACTATATTTCCCAAGCTAAACTGCTTCCAGCAAGTTTGTCCGCCTTTTGAAGATTAATAGTCCAAGTCCCAATTTCAGAACATTCAATTTAGGGCAGCAAACACACCTGCTGTCCTCTTATTGAATTCTTACAGTGCTGTACATGTTTGTCCATCGAACAAACTCCCTTTGTCGGTTTGATCGGCAAGACATTAGATGGGGTGTTTATTACAGATCCAATTGAATTCAGCCAAGTCCAAACGAGTGGCAGTCCTCGCGTCGGTCCATTTGCACTGACAGCAGTATGCGCGTGAACCTACGAGTAAAAAAAAAAGAATAGAAGTGAAAAGAAGGCACTACTCATATCTTACTCTTGTTGAGACTGAGGCTACTGCGCAGTCTGGCAAAGGTGGGAAAATTATTTCGCAGAAATAGGTAGTCTATCGGCTTCCTCTTCCAAGCATAACCATTAAAAACTACCACCTCGTGGTCGCAATCGAGGCAGCGAAGCCTGTCACAGGATCTCAATTCATTTCCCGCTGTGCAACCCTGCGGCAGATCGGTACCACCAATGTAAATAGGCGCACAACTAGATTTTATCACTCTTTAATATTAGTTTACCGTAAAATGTCTGGTTTGTGATTTGCTTTTGCAATACTTGACATCTGGATATCACCTGTGCCAGCCTAAAAATAAAAAAGATAAATCAGAGACCTCTTCAATTTCCGTTAGCTCTTTTTCAAGTAGCGCCAGCATCGCATCAATATCACCAGTTGGTCTCTAATAACTCATTAAAAGGTATCTTACTTAGCGTTTGATTCGCTCATGCCCTGAGAGGTTATCAGATCTCGCGTTGGCTGATATTGAAACGAAGAGCAGACATTAACGTGATTTTGCTCGCTGAAATCGTGGAAAATCTATAAATGTACAAGCGCATTACGAACATGTCCGTTTTTGTTCCTAGGATAACCTGGAATCCACATCTAAACCTAGAATTCCGCAGAAATGCATACTGTATTTGATTCGTATTTATGCAAATACTTTTCTAACGATACGATTGGTTACCATTTTCCAATCAAAATTCAGGATAAACTGCAAACTTACTTGCCAATAATTATAGCTTTCATATGCAGCGGTGTTATTTCAACAGCTTAAAGTACAATTGCCATTACTATGTGAAGAAATTAAGCATTTCTGTGAATACTCTCATTGAATGAGGTGGTACGGGGTGCTAACTTGAATTCCACTTTAATATTTTTTGCCCTTGTGCCGCAGAAAAGGGCCGTTAGGCTCAATTGTAAAATGCTTTTAATTATTGGCTTTAAATATTTAAGCTACGCCTTGGCTGAATTATTTAACAACTTAAAGGCTACCCAGACTTTTAACCGGCATACAACGTGCAACGACGATGAAGCAAACTGGACCTTTCCTGAAGTCCTAACAGGCCAAATTACTGTGAATGAACATATATTACTACCGCGCAGAAGTGTTTGGAGGCCACTCTTACCACCCAAGGGCATGCCACAGAGCGAAGCCCTGCCTTCGTTAGTTCAAGTATCCTTGATTAAACGCACAGTCATACAAACTATCAGATTACTACACCAATTCGTGGATGCATTTCCTCTCAACGACTAAGAATGCTCCACTATTTCTTCCCCTATACTTGCCGTTGTGCAGTTACAAAATTGCAAGTGATGTAAGCAGTGTGAAATTCCTATTTGAGTAGAATTAGCTCAGCAGTCCTTCAGAAGGGTAGTTGCTTCGTAACCAATCGCGTAATTTTTCATGCCCCAGCGGCGATCTCGCCTATGAAAACCCCACATACCTTAATCAGCACCAGCTCTGCCAATCGTACCTGCCATCACATCAGCCCTTTACGAGCAATGATGCGATTGCAAGGGCTGTGCACCCCAACGACTCCGTGCCTCGCTTCCTCAGCCCAAAGCTCCACACACGTCAGCGTACAAGCCCCGAGTAGGAAAAATGAAGCCAGGGCACCCATGCGACCAACTACACGTAGGAGACGGGACTTCTGTAAGACTAA